TTCTCACAGCAGATCAATCTTTCAGAATTGGGGTTCACCACATTTTCTCCCTTGTAGCTCATTTTCTTCCTCGTAGATCATATTCAACAACTAGACTAAGATTATCAACAAACTTGTGGTACACCTGGCACCCTGCACACTGTTTGGCATAGTGTATACAGAGAACATATTTACAGCATGCGTAAGAAAAAACATCAATCATAATGAATGCAGGCTTGTCCTCATACAGCTTATCCAAAATGAGCAAAGCAGTAGGTTTGGAGTTTGCATTTTGCACATAAATAAAGGCACAGAACAAGGTTTACCTGAAGAAAAACTGTCCCACTTTCATAGGCTACTCTGTTTATCAAGCGCTTGGTCTCTTTCACCACATGCATTGCATGTAAATTGAACAAGCAAGCTTCTTCTAGGAAGCTTTATATCAACAGCGGCTTCCTGAAACATCACACAAACAGAAGTTACATTTAGGACATTCTTGCCTACAAACTAGTCTGTTGTTTGCCGCTTTACTATTCAATCTGCCAGTGAATTGAGCACTTATTACTCATTTCTGAATCTAGCTTGTTCCTCGATCAGCAAGCAATTTGTTACATTGTCTTTCATGCAATAAACCGCTGAATTATACACAAAATGCAAGACCTTATCATTATTTCTTTATCATATTTTTCACATATGTATGCTATCAACCTAGCAAATTTTCAATTTACAAAACGTGTTCATATATAGTTTACTAAAGCCAATCAGCCAATGGACAAAGAAGATATGATGCTAGAAACCACAATTATTCTGGCTATATGAATCATCAAGTTGATATAGAATAGCTAGCAACCTACACCAACATATCAGGCTGAATCTCATTAGTTATCCAATTTCAATAATCAGTGGTCTAAAACCCAAGCAGTTACTGTTTCCATTGCTGGTGGCTACCTAATCCAGTCCATTCCCTAATCGCCTCCACTAAATAATTTCAATCCATAACCCAAATCAATTCACCCCTGACGATCTGAAAACATCACAGAGACTAAGGAGAGAGGCGCTAATTCTAACCGTTGGCGACGGCACCGCGTCCGAATTGACCTCACGGGAGGAGGAAGCGAGCCTCCTTGGATGGTACGAAACTCTCAACCTGCAGGACGAGAGACGAGCTTAGAAACCCGCGTCCCGCGAGCCGAGCCGAGAAGTAGATGGAACGGAGCGCACCGGCGGTGCCGGTGCCCTGAACTTCGAGGAGGAGGCCACAAGGGACACGTGAGGGGAGGAGGAGGCTCCCGGCGGGACGAAAGGATCCCCGGAAACAACGCGGGAGGGCGGCAGCCCCGCCGCGCAGCAGCTGTACTTCTGCGGCCGTCGTCGCCATAGCCGCCTACTCCTACTTGGATTCGCTTGCCGCAGGGGAGGTCAGGGCGGAGGGCGGTCGCCGGAGCCGGGCGGGCGAGCAGGTTCCGCCGTTTTGCCGCTGAAGGCCTGAACGGCTCTAACAAGCAGCCCCACCAGATGTCCATATTGACTGGGCCGGCCCGTTAACCAGTTTAGACAGCCCATTGTCTGTATTTACCCGTGTCAGCCTTCGAGTTGTGGGCTGTGGCCTTTTTATCACTGTCCCAAAACAGGGCTAAGTCAAATCCCAAAATTGCTTCTACTCAAAAAAAAAAATCTCAAAATTGCTGTGCTCGAAACAACAATGGCATGGTGTCATACTGAAGAATCACATGGATTCAGACATCCAGTTCCATCACTGTGAAACCCACCGACGGCCACGAATGGAGTGTGTTTGCGTGCAGACACATCCGACTTCCTATCCCTGGTAAAGCACACAAGAAAGCTTTGTGTTATCAGAAGATTCACAAGCTTCTTTCATTTATTGCTCTCTCCATTCCAAATTATAAGTCTTAGTTTTTACTATGTATCTAGACATAGCATACATCTAGATGCATAGCAAAAAAAACTAAGTATCTAAAAGAGCAAAAACAACTTGAAATAGATAGATGGTGTGAAGAAACAGTACCTTAGGCATTTATAAATTTGAAACTGAAACGGAGTTGTGGGATGAAGCACTTGTGCTTTTAGTGTATTCTCGTGATTGCTTTCTGACCTCTGGAACAAGACTAGCAGCTTGCAGAATGGTAATCACCAAAAATCATTGCAAGAACATGCTCTATCTCGGAAATGGTGGAACCTACTCCGATCTCTAACAATGATTTCCCGGTTCCAAAGCTGAGAGATTAACTTGATTGCAGAGTGGCAGTCCTCACAGACTCTCAGGTTCTTCATGATATGAATCGGTAAGTTCGGTGGAAGGCTAATGAGACCAAAAGCAATGGCTATCTTCTCACTGTGTGCTAAAAAGTGCCTGTTCTTTCTTCTTCCTCGTCAACGCCCACTGCTATCATTGACGTAGCTGGAGAATAACCCGCAGACTTCAGCCTGCGTGCAATTTCCTCCATCATCGTGATGATCTCTAATGTCCGAGGATGTGATTGGTCATTGACAACAAACTTGTGTACCTGCCCAGCCACAGTAATCGAGCTGTAACCTGCCGCTTTTCTTAACTCCTGTTCTTCCATCAACATCCTTATTCTTTTTTGCATCTACCCATTGTCTAGAGTCTATGTATATGTTATACAACTGACATAGACAGCATCCTCCTCAGGCGCTAACTTCAGAAGATACTCCGCAGCATGTCGGCTAGGTCAATGTTTTTGTGGACTCTGCAAGCACTCAAGATGGAGCCCCATATGACGGCATTTGGTTGCATTGGCATGGTCTGAACAAGATGCATAGCTTCATCCAAGAGCCCACTGCGAGCAAGCAAATCTATCATGCAGCCATAATGCTCAACTTGAGGGTGTAATTTGTGCAACGATCTCATCTCGTTGAAGTGCAGACGACCTTCATTAAGCAGACTCGAGTGGCTGCATGCAGTCAGAACAGCAATGTAGGTAACTGAGGTGGGCAGAAAACCATCACGCTTCATCTGGCAGAAAGACTCCAGAGCATCCTTACCCATCCCATTGAATGCAAGACCTGCGATCATGGCACTCCAAGTGTGAATGTCTCTTTCACCCATGCGATGGAACACAGCGGTTGCCTCATCCACCCTCCCACATTTCATGTACATGTCCACAAGTGCAGTTCCAAGGTAGACATCTTCCTCTACTATCCTCTGTTCGATGGAAGCATGCAAAGCCCTGCCCAGTGGCAGTGCACCTAAGCTCGCACAAGCAGTGAGAAGGGTCACCACGGTAAAATTATCAGCACGCATGCCGTGTCTCCTCATCTGCATGAACAACTGTAATGCGTCTCTAAGCCGGCCACTGTGGATGTATCCAGTGATCATAGAGTTGAATGTGATGACATCACGGGCGCCCATTTGATCAAACAGAGACCTTGCAATATCAACATGGCCAAGCTTGCAGTACCCGTCAATGATAGCATTCCATGGCTCAGGCTTTTGGCCCTTCCCACAGCGTCAAAGACCGCCTGTGCTTGGGCAATGTCACCACATTTGGCATACATGTCAATGAGTGCAACAACAAGATTGTCAGTCATCCGGATCCTCTTCTTCCCAACCAGCAAGTGCAGCAAGCGCCCAAGCTCCAAATTTTGAGCTTCGAACATGCCGAGAGAGCGCCAATCACCGCGACTTCATCCGGCTCGACACCATCTGAAAGCATGCAGTTGAAGCAATACACGGCATCAGCAGGCCGGCCAGCACGCGAGTACCCAGCAATCAAACTAGTCCATGAGACCACGTTCCTCTCCGGTGCCTGCATGAGGAGCCTCCGCGCTTCATCGAGCAGCCCCCACCTGACCAGCCCGCCGATCACCGTGGCCCACACGACCGCGTCCTTGACAGGCATCTCATCGAACGCCCGGCGGGCGTCGTCCGTGAGCCCAAGCGAGGCGTACATGTGGATGAGGGGGGGTTCGCCACGATCCGCGCGGCGGAGGGGAGCATGGTCCGGAGGCACGCGGCGTGCAGCATCCGGCAGAGCCTGGCGCGCCGGCGCCGGCGGCGCAGCACCGGAAGACGAAGTGGAACGTGAAGGCGCTCAGTGCGGACGCCCCCGCGGCGCATGCGGCGGAGGAGGAGGACGGGATAGTCTGCGCCGGCGGAAGCCTGGAGGCAGGCGCGGAGGCGGTGTCGTGGAGGAAAGTGGTGGGTGCGGCAATCGGTCGAACAGGCTTAGCACGTAGCGCAGGTGGCGCGGGGCCGAGAGGCAGTTGGTGAGCGAGTTGAGGAGGTGCTCGGCGGAGGGACGGTGGGCAATGCGGCCGGACGTGGTGACGACGGCGTGGAGCTGGGACGCTTGTCGCACGGAGCGAGGGTCGGCCATGGCGACGCCGGCATGGCACGGCCCGCTTGCAGCCGCAGCGGAGGAACAGCGCGCGCAGCCGTGTGACGGCGCGGCCAACCTGGATCTCGATGGCTCGAGCTCTTTTGGGCTGTTTTGGTTGAGAAATTGTAAAAAGGCCATGATCAAGCCCAAGTGTGTGTATTTGATGGCCATAGTTCCAGGTGAAGCTCTACGGGCAGATCGAGCCCATGAAAGCTTTTTTTCAGAACAAATCCAAAAATAGCATAATTTTTACTATATAATATGTGGACATATTGTATATCTAGATACGTACAAAAACTATATATCTAGAAAAAAGCCAGAACGACTTACAATTTTGAAATGGAGTAGCATTTATGACAATTTTTATAAAAACAGGGTTTACTCCGTCAAAAAAATGTATTTATGACAGTTTAACACTTTTCCTATCTCTTATATGCCTAAATTTTTATTATTATGAAAATTGTTTGTGAGTTGTATTTTTAATTGTACTATTTAATTTGCGTAGAATTGTTGTCTGGAAATTTCTAAAGTTTATGACACCTAAATTATAGCAACTCCCAAAGTTTAAAGTCGCTTATAACCAACAATACTCCTAAAAGTATGTTTATATTTGTGGTAAGAGAAAGTACTAGTAAATTTGTGTTGCTTCACCTCCAGTGGAGCAATTTCAAACACTGAGAGGTTGTTTGCTTTAAGCCCTGACAAATTTACTTGGGCATACATCCATCACAATTTTGGACGCTGGAATTGGATCGATCAGCCTAACCTGCACCCACATAGGACAGGTCTCAAACCAAACGGCGCCTCATTTTAAAGCAGAGAGATCCACGAAGCAACAAGTCAGTTTTCATCTTGGTGGAGCAATAATCGAACTGCAACGGCTTCACCCAAGATTTTTTTTTTTTTTTGAAACAGAGTAGAAAATCTGAAGTGGAGTGTTAATCCTTGGGAGAGAGCAGCCATAGAGTGTCACGGCTAGCTAGCAGCTTTAAATTGCGAGACACGCATCTTCCCTTGCCTTCCCTGCCAACCACCATGCGCCGTCGGTGCATGCATGTGTGAGAGTTCAAGGAATGGCTGGCCATGCACGCCCACGACGCAGAGCGTGGCTGCCCATGCACTGCACCACGGCGATCTCGATCCAGAGCCTTCCTCTCCTGGTTCCTCCCCTCCCTCCATGAAATCTTGCTTCCTCGGCTCGATCGCTTCATTCTTCGCGAGCCGCGCGCAGGTCTCTCTATAAGTACGCACCTCGCGCGCACCAGCCTACTCACTCAGTCACTTGGCAATTTGGCATACAGCGCAGTCCATCCCCATCCTTCTCCGGCCACTCCATCCGAAGCAACTGAGCGGAGACCGAGGCCGGCCATGGGCAAGCAGGCGCTGGCGCTGGCGCTGCTGTGCGTCGTCCTGCTCGCGGCGACGGTGGACGACGCGGCGGCGGCGTCGTGCAACCCGTCGGCGCTGAGCGCGTGCGCGGGCGCGCTGTTCGGCGGGGCGGTGACGCCGCGGTGCTGCGCGTCGCTGCGGGCGCAGCAGCCGTGCCTCTGCCAGTACAAGCGCGACCCGACGTACCGCGGCTACGTCAACGGCCCCGTCGCGCAGAGCGTCACCCGCGCCTGCGGCCTCCCCATGATGAAGTGCTGATGCCTGATCGAGAGCCGGCGACGTATACTACTGCGAGTCCACGGCAGATCCATGGACGGACAGACTGAGACAGACAGACATACGTGAGTCTAAATAAACGCGAGCTCTAGCTCGGCTGGTTGTTGCAGCTCGCCATGCTCCGGCAACTCGTAGTCAGCTACCTCGGGAGTGAGGCTATGCATGATGCCGGTGGTTTTGGCTGTTTTCATTATGTTTCTGAGTTGTTTTCGTATAAGTAAAAAATCGCGCTGCCGTGCTGTGTCCAGCGTTTATAAATTTATAAGTTTTATTTATACTAGGCCGGCCTTGGTACTTCTGATTCTACATACACAGAAGCCTCATCCTCCGGATGAAACTACAGGATACTTGTTGCTTGTGGAAATGGCACTAGCGAACTCAACTCAATCGACTGACGATCAAGCACAAAGTAAAACGACTGAGAGGTGGCATGATCTGATGATATAAGCTACTGGTTATATATGACTGGGTAATCTGGAAACAGCAGCACAGCACCACAAGCAGTATGGATCTAACACTCCCAGAACATCACACATAACGGGCAGTCACGGCATAAATTGCATTGTTTAAACTAACTGGGTACCAAACCCAAAGCAGCTAACCAAGACATGTAAAATCAGGATGACCACCAGATACTACTCGGTCTTTAAGAGCCGGGGTGTAAAACTCATGATAACCACCAGAAATACCTAACTACTCAGCCCAAAGAACCTGAACAAGCGATTTGAAACTAAGGATAACCACCAGAAACAGTTAACTAGTCCTGCGAACGGGAATGGAACAGTAGCTTCCACTGCTTTGTCCTCCAAGCCACACTTCTGGATGCAACTAGTATGTACACGATAAACCCATAACTCGGATCAAACAGAGCGCCTTGATATTTAAGATCACTTTGCAACAGAAGTCCCCGCTGACTTCTCATCATCAGGCAGGCCCTGCGATAAATAAGCCAGTCAGGAAAGGTTGTCCAACAGGTGTCATGATTCATGAATGTATCTCCAGCAAGGCAGCAACAATACATGTATCCAGAAGTACAGTATATTGAGGGAATCGCACATACCAGGTCGTTGTGAAGCAAATTGATCTCTGAGAACTTTGGCAGCACAGATTTCACATCAGAAGTTGCTGACTTCTCATTCTGCAGATCTTGACTCATCTTGCTGCTACTCTCAGACACCTCAGCATTGTGGTAATCAGCACCAGGTACACCCTGGCGATGAATAGGTCAATCAATGAGCAGAACTGTATGTTGCACAAAAAACCTTGTCCAAAGGCTCACAGCACATCTTTGCTTACAAAGAACTGGAATGGATGGATAGATAGAGGGGTGCTGGCAAGGTTGGGCAGCGAAAGAGAGTTTAAAATACCTGGCCGTTATGAAGGTCATTGGTAGCCTTAGCATCATCATGAAGCATATCTTGTGAGTTCAGCTCATGAAGCATATCAACAGTCAGATTTATGTCAAAATCATTTGCCTTGAGTAACTCATCAATGAAATCTGTAGACACATTTGGGAACACTGAAAAGACCATGTTGGCTAGAGCAAGTTCATCAATGTCATTTTCCTCATGCTGCGAAGGATCAAAACTGCTACCAGAAGCCTCTCCCTTTGATGATGACCCTGCAGAAATGATAAGACCTGCTGAGCTCTCAGTGTATTCATATGAATAAAGCAAATCTGAGAGTTCAAAACCTACAGAACCACTAGAAAAATCTTTAGTCTCACCTCCTTGTTTTTCTGGGGCTTTGTGTGCAAATGAACCCAGCGATCCAGGTATGAAAGGGCTGGCGTTTGGATTCAACTGGAACGATCCTTCCATGGTTCTTTGATCAACAAATCTGTAAATGTACAAAGACAAAATTCAGCGCAAATATATATGTGCAATTTACAACAGCAAACAAGAGAATTCACAGAGTAGCCATGCATAACTTATATCAAGAGAGTGATATGGTCCGAAGTGCCAATTCAAAGCAATAAAGTTTGAAACTGAGCAGAAGGGATAAAATTAAAATTCGAAGTAGATCAAGTGTGTTAGTACATATTCTGATCTCATGTGCATCACAAAATTAATCTTCTTGCGCTAGAGTAATCCAGAATACAATACTTCTGGAAGAGTAAATTTCCAAATGTAGGAGAATTTTTAAAACAACAATTAGTTTGCTAAATTTAGAATGTTGCTGACAACAATACTGACTACAGAATGCAAATGACAAAACCGCAATATGCTCGAATGATAACTAGCAAATGGATGCAAGTAGTTGCTATCAATCAGAATATTATTGATGGGTGCTTCAGCTATATGGAAAAATATAAACGCTGACTTTGTTTCAATATCATCATACAGGATTACATGATAAACATGTGGATAGATTTTTCTTCTTCAAACATAGAGAAGGATATTCCAAAGAAGGCAGTGAAATAAAAGCATAACTATTTCACTTTTTTTATTGAGACTAGAATGCTCCAATCAGGCGCACTCCCATTAATCAGAAACAGTAATATTCGATTACATGCAGATAACATCCTAATTTTCATAAAGAACAATTAAGGAACTGTTATGCCCGTCATTCCCTTCTAGAGAATTGAAAAGTGATCACAGATGAAGTAATGGAACATTTGACTAGTGGCCCAAGATATCAAAATGAGTTCATTAAAAAATAGAATAAAGGAGGACCCAGGCTCCTAGACAGAAACAGTGGTTAGCTTATCGCATTCGAGTTCTAGAACTAAATCCCAGAAGTAATGGACCAATTCTCTAAAATTAGGAATAGTAACTATCCAAAAGATACAGTCACTGGCTTAATTGCTGGTAAAGATCTAACAACTTACATCAAATGGGGTAATTTTAAAAACAGCAAATATTTGTGTAGTCCTAAAAGATTTATAACCGAAACAACGCGGAATAATTAAATTAATCAGATTCAAGACAAGATGCCATACTAGAGTAGAGCCAAAATGACAACCTACCAATAAATCAAATGGGGTGATTTAATACGATTTAGAAGAACAGAAGCAAGTAATAGTATAATCCCACAAGCTTTATAACCAAATAACGAAGAATAATCGAAGTAGTTAGATTCAATAAGCCGTACTGGACCAGAACCAAAATTACAACCTAGCAATACATCAATGTGCGACATCAGGCCCGTAGTAATGCAAATAACAGGCAAAAATCATTGTATCCCTTGCTACTACAAATCATCGGCTACTGCTTCTATACACGAATTCTGACTGCAATCGGAAGCTGGCTGCAGCAGCGCTGTGGCTGAAGCGGCAGCAATACTACTGTGTAAAACCTGTAGAAATCAAGCAGCATCAGCTGCTGCAGCTGTGGTAGAAGTGCAGTCTAATAATCTATTTGATCTTCACAAGCTACCAGCTCTTCCATCCCGTGTACAAGACAAAGCAGCTCCTCAATACTAACACAGAATCCGGATCAGACCCATGAATAACAAACGAACATCATCACAGTAAATAAACAGAGAACACGCATCAGCATTCCACTCTTCCCAGCACCCACGCGACCAACCGAACTAGCTCTACAGACCCCTACCCCGATCCCAGCCGCAAAGCGCACCAGAACACAGCAGGGAGAGCAAGCGGCTGTATCCCAAGTTCGCAGCAGACCCCTACCCGATCCACGCCACAAAGCGCACCAGAACACAGATGGGCGAGCAAGCGGCCGATCAAAACCCCCCACGACGAGTCAGTGGACTAGATCACGATCGCGACAACTCGACGCGACTGGCGGCGAACAGATCGACCTACACCTAGACCTAGCCCTCACACTCCCTTGAACAGATCGAACGGACAGATACATGCAGCCCGGAGCGCAATCGAGTTGAGAAGGTTTACCTCGGGACGATCGGTGGGGGCGATGCGGTGCGGAGGTCGCCGGCGCCGGAGCGGTGGTGGTGTGAAGTGGGAAGGCCGTGGGGGTGGGCTGGGGGAAGAAAGCCAAAGGTGTGACGGGGAAGGGAAACGGCACGGCAGTGGCGTGAATGCGTGATCATAAGGGCAACTGGGGAATCATTCCAAGTTGGCAACCGAAGGCTTAGGCCGTAGGCCCATGGGCCTATTACGTGGTAGAGAGCTTTATTGAGCTAGGCCCATTCCTTCTAGTAGGATTTCCGGCCTTTAAGTCTGGGCTCCACATAATTTTTCTTTCTCACGTTGAATCAAAACAGAAAAAGATTTTTTTTTAAAAAAAGAAAAAGATTCCCTAAAAAAAAAAACAGAAAAAGATCTACCGAGCATGTCCTTGATTCACCTCTTTCATTGGCACGTACTTACGGCACACGTCGGATTCAGTTGAGATTGGAGCCCGCCAATTCATCTCGCTCCTCGTTCCACAGCACGTCCGGTTTTTCATGAAAACGCAAAAGCCCGTGTGCCGAACGAACAAGACAAAGCATCTTTCTTCCGTCTAAAATGCAAAAGTCCGGGTCAAATAAACGTGCTCCATGAAAACCAACGGACCTTTTCAGAATCAAATCAAATTGAAATCAAATCCAAACAAAATAAACCACTACGCAAGGAACACATAGCATGGATCGATCGGATCCGACTTGAAAACAGAAAATCAGTCACGTCTTGTATATTTCAATGGAGCAGGGTACGTATAAAATATATTATATGTGTTGAATGACAACCAACTCATGTAACAGCTACGAGATGCGCTCATTTGTACACATCTTCATCGTTTAAAACAATAGACATCTCTTCATTGTGAGTACAGTCTAGTACTTTAGCCAGTCACCTTTAGTCGCAAAATGGTTTATGTAAATCACAACCCCGTGTGCTGCCGCAACTGTTTTTCTTCCTTTTCCTTTACCTTTTGTCGTTCCAGGGAAGCTACGGTATCTCACCGTGTGCTCTTTGGGCTTTGTATTCTCCAAACTTCTTAGACATTTTCATCTCACATTCATTTATCTTTGTATCAAAAGGTGTGTTTGGCAGGGTTCTAAATTTTTATAGAAAC